GCACCACAATAGGTCAGGGCTAACAAGCACTCTAAAGGACAGGATGAGAGTTCAAAATGATCCTCACATACCAATAAAACAGTATGGAGAAGATTAGGGTGAAATTCAGGATTGTTGCAAAGGGAAACTGAGCTTTGCACAAGCATAACAGAAAGGATGAGCATTAAGGGGTTGAATCTAGAGTGAAGGAAGAGTTAGGTTTAGACATCATGATAGTTTTATATATTTGTTGTCAGGATACAAAAGTGATGGACTACCTAGAAAGGGCATGTACCTGTGTGTCTGCATGGGACTTCAAGAACAGGTTGTCTGAGCACTGGCAAAGAGACACAAATCAATCCTACACTGAGCTAAAGAAGGAGGCCATTGTCTTTAAAAATCCTGTAAAAGTATTCAGCCAGTAATCCAAGACAGTCAATTCCTAGATAGTAGTAGTGAACTGTTGCAACGAAAATGTAACCTTCAGTTTTTGCACCTGTTACACCTGACATGAAGGTCTCCTGACTTCTGTTGGTTATACCCATCTACCAAAGGATACAATGCCTCCATGAGATGGTCATGTTCATGTCTCCCTTATAACAGTATACATTGGGATATTGCAGCAATTATTCAGCTTTTTTCCATCTCGTCATAACAATTCTGTCTCAATTTTTGCTGTAATGCCCAAGAGACTTTTAAATATTTTTCCAGAAAAGTCTCCTGTAGCAGGGATGGATCCTTCCAGGCCAAGGGACACTGGGGAGCTGTTTCACCTGCCTCTCCAAATGCACCAGACCGAGCCTTTAAAAGGTCAAATAATCCCATAAAACACTATCAATGTTTTGAAAATCTCTTGGGTCTAAGATACTTTCTACTCAAATCACAGGTAAATGCAGAGCAGCACATATAGAGGTCATGGAGAACATGGCCTGTGATGCAAAAAGCATGACACAGCATGGGAGGATTTTCTGCTTAAGGAGAGGATATATAAAGGCATACATAGCTTGTATTTTATAAACTCTGGGCTTTAAATTCACTGGGACTTTTGATAGGAGAGAAAATGGCCAAGCTGTTTCACTGCTGCATTCAGAAACTCTTTCCCAACTTGGACAGCCCTTTCATGGCTCCAGGGTCTTTCTGCCTTCCCCATCCCAGTTCCACACTATCCTCCTCTCAACTTTATTTCACACTTGACCTTCATCCTCTTCTCCCAGCAGTGTCCCCATCATCACTTTTTCACAAGGACACCAGGTAACCTCCCTCCTGCCCTCTTGGACAATGAAAGACGTGCAGTCTCTCTCTTTTCTTTGCTGTTCAGTAAAGCATTCTCAATCTCACGAGGTTTGGGCTTTCTCCACGTTATTGGTGACCTCTATGCTAACCTGCCTTTGCAATCCTTTTCAAGCTTTTATTCCGTCCTCCAGTCTAAACATATTCCCAGACTTTCACTGACCTACAGTGGCACTGAGTGAAAAAGTGAAATAAAACCCTGTGTCTCCTCTTGTAGGACACAGAATTATTGAAAAATTATCTGGAGTGTCTACAGGGCAGAGTGATGGGGAGCAAAATCCTGTCTTTGTACTGCTCTGAGCCTCTGCAGCATACAGATCATTTGTCAGTGCCAGTTTGAGGTAGTCTCTATAAACAGCCTGTTTTGCATTTGAAGCACTCACAGGACATGATGGTTCGGCTAAAAAACCATGCATTTTACATGTAATCACCAGGATAATTTGGCTGTATCTCGTGTTTCCACAACTTAATATTCTACCTACAGATGCATGATCAAGAAGAGATTCCTTAACTTTGACAGGGCACATCACATTATACTCACTTTATTATTGGAAATGATCACCTCAGGGTGCAAAGGGGAGCAAAGACATAGTTTCATCATACTTTTTTTTTTTTTTTTAATAAACTGCATTTACTACAGTGTGGAGTATTCCAAAGGTGCAGAGCGCCACTTGCCCGTGGACAAGGGGCTACATTTTACATGGATTGTGCAAGAAGAAAGGTAACTGCTTAATTTCTTGCTAGGCTGTGTAAAATTCACGTGGAAAAGTCAGCTTTTAGGCACACAGTTCATATCCTCCAGTAAAAAGTCAAAGGTAGTGAAATTAAATATTGGAAATGCTGTACCCATGGATGTAACCGAAAGCTCTCCTGACTATGGCTACAAATCCTCCCTTGGACTCAGGACAGGATCCAGCACCAAACTCCTGACCTAACATTAAGGAAACTAAGAGTTTTGATGCTTGCTAGGACCAACAATGAGTTTTTTCCTCTGCTTTGATGGTTGTTACAACCTATTAAAGTTTCCTATTCTCCAACTCTGCAAAGACTTGATTGCACTCCCAGATGAGCAGACCAGAAAAATATACTCCTAAATCTCAACAAGCACTTGATACAGTACATTTATCTGGGAACCGATTGATATCACATCTATTTTGGCATTATGATTTTTATTTTTAATCCTCCATTTAAATGCCCTATTTCACAATCTGAAAGGAAAAGGAACAAGGGATGGCCCATAGATATTTAGTAGCTATAAAATAAAGCCTATAAAATGAAAGTGAAATGAATTATCAAACCATAAACTAAAGTTCAGTGTTTAAAATGGGCCAGGGCTTTAAAAATTCAATTACAGCTTTAACAGAAACAAGTTTACTCAATATTTTAATAACCTTCTCTCATAATGTTTTTTTCTTCCTTTGCAAAACCTGGCATTACTGAGGATGCATGGCAAGCTTGCCTTTCCTCTAACTACTTTAAGATTGATTAGGAAACAGAAATATTGATGCATTTATCCAGAATAACTTAATTAAATAAAGCCAAAAATAGCACACAGGAACATGTCTCAGTAGAAAACTGGAGTTGACCAAGATGAAGAAAGGCTGCATTTAATACTCCTGGATTGAAAGCATTAGGACCATTAATTGAATGTCAGTAAGGGACAATACTCAGAACAGGAAAGTTATTTAATGTTTTCTCAACTCACTGGTGGGATATTTCCTGAGGTTCAGGTTCAGTAGCTTCTGTGGGTTTGCACCTCTCCAACACTCAGGGGTCCTACAGGGCACCTCAGCTGAGCACAGCAGGTGAAGAGAACATCTCAGAGTGCTAATCTGCATTACCTTTGTTGAAGCTCAGTCAGTCAGGTGTAAGGTCAGATATTAAGACATGAAACCTGATTTAAGTCAGGTTTCTGTTTGCTTGGTTTTGCCAAACAGGTGTTGTCATGCTGTGGAGGATACATTTAGCAATGGGCTACCTTGGAGCAGTGAAGCACCCTGGCTTCTTGCACACTGGGAGGCTGAGCCTGGGCTCAGTCCCAGCTCCTGCGAGTTTCAAGGAGAGCTTAAGAGAGAAAAACCCTTAAGGACAAGATTTCAGGGGCTGTTACACCAAGCAACAGTAGCTTTCAGTGTTGTGGTTTTGGAGGGGCTTTTTCTCATCTGTTTTACTTTCTTTGGGAGGCATGAGGATTTTGACAAAACCTCTAGAAAAACAGTGAGGGCATGCCAGATGAACTACAGAATTTTCTCTCTAGTTTGTTTTGGAAACAACCCATATCTTCATTTTAAACAGCACTTCTGAAATGCACAGTAGCATCAGGCCCAAGCTGCAATCAGAGAGGTCTAGACTGCTCTGTGTGGAGCCCAGCTGATTTTATTACAACCCACCAGGAGCTCCATAGACTGCCCTGACAAATCCAGCTGAAGAACCAGCACCACTGATAAATTTAAAGCATTGCAGATACAACAAGATGGAAAAACAGGCAAGTGTTTCAGGGAGAGAGAGAGACTGCAATTGAAAATACATAATTCTCAAAGCTGCTTCCAAGGGGAATGGAACAAAGATCTTAAAATATTACCCCTAGATGTTTCCCCCCCTGTGGTTGCAATTATTTCCGAAGTACCCTGCTTAAAATAGGTTTTCAAACCATGCAAGACTAATCATTTCAATTTGGAGAGGTAAGTAGGCACTTACCATACAATTCACAATTAGCTAAAGATGGTAGAAGAATCTCAGTCATGTTGGCACAGGAGATTTAAAAAAAAAAAAAAAGAAAACATTTTTTTTCTTGCAAGAATGACATGTGATGGGAGAGTAGAGGAAGATAATTGTCATAACAAAGGGAATATGTTATTATTTATTGGCCACACTTAAGCACTGGGATCCTGTATTATAGTATTTGGTGACAAATGCTGCTTGAAATTTTGTAAATATTGCTTAAAAAGTAAGATAATTGAGTAATTCTGCATTTAATCCAAAACCAACATTTTCAAAATTCAGTTCTGGGAAGCAGAGTGACCTTTTTTTTTTTTGTCCTATATGAAAAAATTAAACATCTGAGCACCCTAAAATCTTATTGTTCTCTTTAGGCTTCACCCTACTCCAAATGATATTAGAGCAATATTGCTGGTAATTAAGTCAAGAGAATTTTTAAAGCCAACTAAGAACTTCAACTTTATAGTGCCTTCAAGGTATGGGGCAGTCCAGGCTGTTCCCTGCCCTGTGCTGCTGTCGACCCCACCCAGCCCTTGTGCTATTCCCAGCAGGGGCCACTCAGCCCTGTGGCACTGGAGGTGAGGGCTGACCTTCCAACTAGGATGAGGATGGATTTCACCCTCCTGAGCTGGGGAGGGTCACAGCACCCAGATCCCCAACAGCTTAGACCATTTCATTGCCAAAGTGACAACTGTAAAAAGACTTTCAGCATCTAATTTCTACATCCTTCAGTATCTTAGTTTATATTTAGACAAAAAACCTGACACGTTTATCTGATTTGGCGCTATTAATTTCCTGGTTCCCTTTCTATTTTCCTCCTCCTCTAGCAGATTCACTGGGTTATGAACTGCAGTAATAACATTTCCAAACCAATTCCAAAACCTTTTTGAAAAGCTTTTGATATTTTATTATCACTCCACTAGTGCTGGGGTGCTGATTAGCCCCCTCCTTCCCTACCCTACCCAGCTCTAGAAGTGCACACAAATGAAAATCTGAGGTGTGTGTGTGGAGGGGTGAGTGGAGTGGTGAAACAAAACAAAAACAAACCCTCAGCAATAAGTTGACTGATTCTGGCAGCAAGACAAATCTGGCACCACACAGCAGGCAGGCAGGGAGTTGCACTGCTCATCCTTTCGGTTTGTCGGTGTGCGGGAATGCTGGACATCCACACGCAGCGAGGGATTCGGCCGAAAGCGCAGATCCTCAGCGACTGAGCCCTCTGCTCCCCCCCACCCCCGGCTTGGAAGATACAGGTAAAAATAGAGAAATGCTTTACCTAACTGGAGTCAGTGAAAATATAAAGCAGCCAGGAGAAGCCTGGACAGCCTAATCTTATTCCTAGCAGGCAGTGGAGGTAAACCACAGCGCTTGGGTTGAGAGCTCCTGTGCACACAATGCCCTCAGGTACCGTGACTGTTTGTGATCGTTCGTGTTGCAGCAAAGAAATTGTTGCAAGAGCAGTAAAGATTTTTTTTTTTTTTTTTTTTGGGGGGGGAATTCACTTTGTTCAAGTTTCCTTTATAAATGTTTATTGCTATTTATATAATTATACCTCTCTGACAGCAGGCTTTACAGCAACTTTGAACCAGAACAAACGGGCAGCCTGGGTGCCTCCTTTTTAGCCAGACTGCATCTACTCTGTGTTACATGTTTATCTATTACCACCATGCTATGAGCTCATAATTTATTTCATAATGTAATTTATAGTTACATTACAGAAGCATCCCTCTACAAACAGTGACTATGTAATATTGATAAAGCATTTAGAAACAGAACATAAATTTAACGGCTCAGATATTGTGAAGTATCGATAATCTGCAGGAAAAAAAGTGTCTGTGTAAGTAAGCACAATTTATTATGGCAGGAACCTAAATAGAGAACATCTTTCTCTGTCAAACTTTCGTTAAGAGAACTTGACATCCCAAAATTCTTTTCTCCCCTACAGATGTCAGAAGACAAGACAGACAAGGTAAAAATCAAGCAAGCAGAAAGTTTTGACCATGAGAAGCAAAATATTTCTTGGCTAAAGAAAGGTAAGTTTCAATGAGTTATTAGTTAGTGGTTTGTGTTCAAAGAGATTTCTCGTCCATTAATTTATATTTTGGAAGAAAAATGCACAAAAATACCCTGTAGGCTTAAATATGTCCAGAAATTTCTACCATTCAAATTCCATCGCTTGACTTCTACGTAACATGCACATACAACTTCTTACGCTGCAGAAAGGCCTAAACTACAAAATTTTAAAGTAACCTGAAAGCTCTTTTTACTAATATCCTTGCATTCCTGGGAAAGTTTTATTTGACCTGAACTATAAGCCAGTAAGAAGTATGGATCGTCATCTTAATTCTGATGAAAAGTTTTTATTAACTTAAACTATTACTGAATTAGATTAATATTAATTTGATTTTCTCAAATACGAGTAAAGGTTAAGCCTGAATGTTTGGATTTGGAAGTGTGTTATCTGAGAATAAAGAACCATCAGTTGTCAGCGGTTTGTATATACAGAAATATAGAGTCTCAAAAGTGGAGGAGTCATGAAAGACAAATATGGGGACCTTTCCAGTTTTAAAGGCTAGGCTAAAAATTAACAGGAATTAAGTAACTCATTTGCAACAAATACCAGTATTTCAAGTACTACATTTTGTTTGTTAAACTACTTTAGAAGGAAAAGACATAAAATTTTGCATATTCCTGGACACATAAAGAGGGAAGTTTCTTAGGATATTTTCTTGCTGAAAAAATAGATTTGCCAAGTTAGGACCTAGCTTATGTGTTTATGTATGTTTGTTGGTCATAAAAGAATCACTTTATTGTATGTCATACAGACAAGTAAAACTCAAATTAAATAGAATTTCAAAGCAAACACTTTCAAGATGCCCAAGATAGAAATTAAATACCCATGGTTAGGTGCAAATTATGGTTTTTAATGAGAACAGTTATATTCTAATCCTAACATAAGTATTTCAGAAAGACTCAACAAGTGACCTCATATTTTGAAACAACTGTGGGAATACTGGGGAAAAGGCTCATTTTTAGCCACTGTTATGTCATCTGTGAAATGTGCCATCACTATTTTAAGCTCATACAATTAATTGTACCTTAGATCTTTTAGCTGCAAGGGAGTTTGCAATACAGTAGGCCTGAAATAATGTCCCTGCCTTGCAGCTTTCCTTGTTTATGCAGCATTTCTGCAGAAATGAAGCAGAGCTGACTGACCAAGACACAGTTTTGCTTAGCACTCAAAATCCTCTGCTTGCAAGAAGGTCAGATAACTTCAATAAAAACTCTGCAAGCAGAAGCTTTGTAGTTTGAGCATCAGAGAGAGGGATACAGCTGAGTGGGGTCGGGGTCTGAGCCTACAAGGTAGCACTGGACTTCACCCTGCAAACAGCAAACATGTAAGTGAATTGAATATTTATTCCACCACAGGAGAGAACACGAGATATTTACAGCTTTACAAAGGGGTAAAAAGGTAGAGAGGACCTTGACTGGTCCTCGTCTCTGAGCAGAGGCTCTAAGAGTCCCATATTGTTATTTATCCTCTGCTCCAGACCTGCTCCATGAACCAGGTGTGCCATCCCTCACACCTGCACATTCCTGAGTTCATTTCACTGAGTGTCACTAGTTCACAATGGTTTATTTCTCCATTTCCTGAGGAGAGACACCACCCATAGTTTCTAGATCGTTATTAACCTTTTGATTGTTCTGTACTTGGAAGAGCTATAATCTCTCAGAGGCACCCAAGTGTTGACTATTGGCACGTCTTTCCATAGTGCCACAGAGAGAACTGGGACTTGAGGGTCTTGTACAGCAGCTGAGTCAATAAATAAGTGAACTTGTCTCATGAGGAAAGAAAATTTTCCCTGAGATGAGAATATGGAGATTATTTTATCTAATATTAAAGTTTGCTTTTAAAAAACTTTGTTGTTGTTTCTTTGCTTTAAGCACTTCTGTGGTATGCACTGGGTTTTTAGACTATGGTGAAACAAATTGTCTGGAGCAGAAGCTTAACTTCTATGTTTAAATGTTTTAAAAATACCTCATGTATAGATTTCAGGCATTCCAATAAACAACGAATTGTGGAGAACAGACTTGTACTGTTTCCATCAGGCACAGTAAGAAGACTATATGTTCTTTTAGCATCCAGTGTTAAAGAAAAGTTATTTTTATTCATGGCTTTGTATTGATTATTTGTTCCTTCTAAAAGAAACAATCATGAACCACATAGTATCAGAAATAAACAAAAAAATATAGACTAGGCTGTGGCTTTAGTGTCTTTCTTAGACTTCATTTTTTTCCTAATGCTTTGCAAAGTAAAAGCTTATGGACTGGTAGTACAATGGGTAAACACCAAAATAAGGTACTTATCACTTTTTTTTGTTGTCTTTCAGCATTAGAAACTGCTTAATCAGGGTAGAGTGGGATTTTAATCTGGCTGCCAGTTATTTTTCTTCTCCTTTTTCCTGGATGAAGATAGTTTGCTTCTGTCTTGGAGCATCTAAAAGCTGAAATCAAAACCTCATTCTGAGGGAAAACTTCTTCCCCAGAGCAAAAGAGAAACCAAACCAGCCTTGTGAAAAGTATCATAGAAAAACAGTAGTTTGGACACGTGGGATTGTACTAATCAATATGTACATGGAGGAGCAGACTGGTAAATGTGTGCTCTACCTTTGCTTGGAGTTTAAAAACGTCCTAGAACATCTTTGCACCTCTTGAGGCACTTAGCACTTAAGTCTACATGTGGATAACATGAGACACTCCCTAGCTTGAAAGTGAAAACAAGGACAGTGAAATGATCACAGTTCTGTACCAAGATGTCTCAGGGTAAACCAGCAGTGTTTTCTGGTAGTACGGAATATTCTTCAGACTGTTATTTCTAAAGATGAGAAACCCTGTGCTTGGAGGTTATGCATCAGACCATCACATGCAAATCCATCAGAATCAGTATGAATGAGGACTGAGAAAAGGCAATTCTGCTTGTCTGACCTTAACACTGACTGATGAGAATCAACCCAAGGAAAGCCTGGGACACAGGAGGAAAACCAGACAGTGACTCCTATTTTGTGTGGAGTGGAGGCAGTTATGTCTGCTTGCTCCCTGCCATGGGGGAGACCTCATTGCTGGAGATGGGAGGCGGTTTTGGACAGAGATAGAGAGTTTCCCATGCCAGTACCTACAAAACCTCTGAGCAGAGGGAAACACGAGTTCCCTTGCAAAGAAGCAATTGACAAGTTATCTGCCAAGAAAAACTAGAGCAGGAATCCTCAGTGCATGTATTGTCCTTATTTTTTCATGCTTTGCCCTGAAATGCACAAAATAACATAAATGACAGTGTATAGACTATGAATATACATGGGTAAGAAAAGAACAGCCAATGTAGCTTGAAGGTAATATTAGAGAAGTGTCCTCTGGAGGGGATTGTGTCTTCCCTGCTTCATGTCCCTACAAGACCACAAAGACAGATGGTGACAGGACAAGTGGGAAGAATTTTAAAGTAAAAGAGGAGAAATTTAGATTAGATATTAAAAAAAAATTATTCCTTGTGAGGGTGTTAAGGCCCTGGCACAGGTTGCCAAGAGAAGCTGTGGCTACCCCATCCCTTGGAGCAACTTGGTCTGGTGGAAGGTGTCCCTGCCCATGGGCAGGGGATTGGAACCAAAATGACCTCAGAGGACCCTTTCAACCCAAGCCACTCTGATTCTGTGATAAGATGTGCAACAAGCAGATCATCACACCCCAAGCAAGAGCACAGGCTCCTAATCAGGCACAGTTATTAGAGGGCCCTGTAAAATCTGGAAGCCATGCAAGATATGCCCTTCAATAGGGTCGTACTCAAGAATGAGCAACACTTCCAAGGGCTGACTCAGGAATGGTCCCACTTTGCACAACACAGCCACAGCCTCTTCCACGTGGACCAGGGGCTCTTTCCACCATGGCAGTGATTTAGTGCCAGATTAGCAGCCATCTGGTGGAAAAGGAGGGAGGTCAAAGCAGAGCTAAATTCACACCAGCCTCAGCATGTGGCTTTTGGAGTTCTTTACAAACAAATCTCTTGGTATCACTTGATGATTACAGCCATATGGATACGTGGGAGCAGGCAGGAGCTTATCTACTGACATAAAGCTATAAAAGGTGACACTGATTTTGTACAGGGACCGCAGTGGTCTGTTCACTATTTCTGCATCCACTGCAAACGCAAGGGAAAATGTGTGAGGGCCTCACACTGCCCTCCCATGGCTTCATCCAAAACTGGCCACAGCAGCCCAGGAACGCGGATCCAAGTCATACAGAAATGAAATTTCATTTCAGGATATTTTCACACAAAGCCCTCCTGTTTTATGCTGCCCAGCTGTGTACACAAATGCCCTCCATATATAACTTCCAGTGAAAAGTTAATGAAATGGCTTCCTTGCTCTCCTGCCAAAAATATAACTGAAATTCTAATCTCAAGACTTTCACCAAAATAGCCCCTTTCTGCACTAAAATTCTTGTAAATCAGAAACATTTTTGTCTAAAATAAGCCTGTTTTCATTGTCTTGCAAATAGTAAAAAGTCTAGCCTCAATTTCTCTAATCCACTGCTCTAGCCAGCAGATTTTCACTGTAGGGTGAAATTCAGCCCTGTACTGAGGGTCAGTGCAAGGTCAACACTTAAACCATAAAATAGGGCTTAAGTGGTAAATAGAGTCTCTGGTCAGGATTATATTTCACCCCTTAAAAGGACTACATTTCACATGAAAAGGGAGATTTACTCATATCATAGACCTGGCTGTAGTGACATTATTCAAATAATACTTTATTCCAGTATTAATCCCACCGGGTGAGATTGGGCCACATTTCTAATAGCGGTACATCCCAGCAGAATATTCCTGGCTGTACCACACCTAAACATCCCACAGCCTGGTCCTGGGGTTGTGTTCCCGGGGGTAAAAGCAAAAGCTTTCTACATGGCAGCACTCAAAACTGCCTTTTCCCCAGAACACTCCTCTCTATTACCCAGAGGCTTTGAGAGACTTTTACAAGCAGCGATAAAG